CATCCCACTACCTTGGAAGATGTCTGATGGCCCATCCAAGTGTCTGTGTTTGTTGTTGTTGTTAAAAATCTGGGCTTCCCCGTATCCTAGGCAACCCTGGGAAGCAGCAATAGTCCAAGGCGGGCGGCATCCTGTGTGTTTCCGTCGTCAAAACCCCCGAGTGCCCGCCGACAGGCGCTGTCTTGGTGGGTCGCTTTGCCCGTGGGGGTCCATGCTGCCCGACGTCAGTGGCCTTCGGTGGCTCTGCTCTGGGCTCGGAAGCCACAGAGGGGGCAGCTCCATGCTCACCTCCACCCTCTCCTCCCAGCAGCATGGCTCCTCCTTCTTCTTCTTCGTTAAATTATATTTTTATTGATGTCAGAGAGGAAGGGAAAGGGAGGCAGAGATAGAAACATCCATGATGAGGGAGAATCATGGACCGGCTGCATCCTGCACGCCCCACACGGGGGATCGAGCCCGCAGCCCGGGGCCTGGGCCTGACCGGGAATCGAACCGTGACCTCCTGGTTCCTAGGTCGACGCTCAACCCCTGAGCCACGCCCGCCGGGCTAAAACACAGTTTTTTAAAACTTTGCTTGGCTACTTTGGTTCCTGTTTCTTCTCCTTTGTTTGGAGCAGTGTCGCCGAGGTGACATGGAAATTATTTCACAGAAAGACTTCCCTCTTTTCTTGAGAAAAACACACCTCTGAGTATTTAGTGCAACAGGTTGTATTCCTGTGGGGGCGTGCGAGAAATTCGAAAACAAACACATTTTCCTTGCAGATGGTTAGGTGTCAGGCTCGGCCTGGGTTGTGGATTATTATTATTTATTTTTTATTGATGTCCGAGAGGCGGGAAGAGGGAAAGAGATAGAAACATCGATGAGAAAGGCTGCCTCCTGTATGTCCCTTATTGGGGATCGAGCCCGCAACCCGGGCATGTGCCCTTGACTGGAATCGAGCCCAGGACCCTGCAGTCCACAGGCCGACGCTCTATCCACTGAGCTAGGGCCACCGTGGATTCTCGGGAAGAAACAGAATCTTGCTTCCCTTGGCAATCCAGCACCATGGACAGCGCCTACCGCATGGCAGGAGCTCGATGTTGGCTTGTAGAGAAACACACGCACACGCATACATGCACACACACACACACACACACACACGCTAAACCCCCCCAAAACATCGATTTCTATGGTTCAGCCTCAACCTCGCACAAGAGGAAGGCAGCCCGGGGAGATGCCGGCGTTGGGCAGCCCGCAGAGAACTCCTCCCACGGTGTTTGTATCCGGAATTCATTCTTCCTCCTGAGTAATTCATCGAGACGGGCGATTTCTATGATTCAGCCTCAACCCCGCACAAGAGGAAGGCAGCCCGGGGAGATGCCGGTGTTGGGCAGCCGCAGAGAACTCCTCCCACCGTGTTTGTATCTGGAATTCATTCTTCCTCCTGAGTAATTCATCGAGACGGAATCAAACAATTCACCACGCAAAAGGCGGGCGAGAAGGGATGTCGAAGTTGCAGCATTGAGGGTCCTTTTTAGAAGTCACGTGGGTAGGACCCCACCAGGTGTGGCTCAGCCGTTGAGCGTCAACCTGTGAACCAGGAGGTCACCGGTTCGATTCCCGGTCAGGGCACGTGCCGGGGTTGTGGGTTCGCTCTGTTTTCCAGAGCTGCTGGCCTCTCGCTCTCTTATTATTATTAGTATGATCATCATCATCATTTTTATTATTATTTTCTCTCTGTTCTGTTCTGGGCCCGTTCATGTGAGGCATGCCAAGACAGCTGGGGGACCAATTTGCAATCGGCCCTTGCGGCTTCGTTGGTTCTTTCCTGCGCGGACCTTCCTGGGGAAAGTGGCGGGAAACACACGTCCTCCCGTGTCCGCCGCCAGCCTTCTCCCCGTCGCCCCCTGGGGCTGGGCAGCGTGCAGGACACTGTGAGGAAATTGGCGGGAGATGAAAGAACGCGCTTCCTTTGATGGTCCGTGCGTTGCTGGCTTTGTCATGATGAGCCCATCTCTCCTCCGATTCGGCTGCCGGTCTCCCTGGAGATCAAAGGAAGGGCTTTTTCTCTCTCGATCCACAGCATTGTTTACGGCTGAGCTCGGGGGGCTACCGTGTGTGGCAGCGGCCCCCACACACTCGCTCGAGCTCAAGGGGGG